GGTTAAGGCAGCTAGACTTCCACATGACTGACCATGGTTCAAGTCCCAGACCTAACAGCTTCCTTTCTCAATTTCCTTCTCTTTCTGTCTCTCTCTGGTCCACTTAAAAAAAAAAGATTAAAATAATGATAGTGAATAAAATTAAATAATTCTTTTAAAAAAAGAATCTGCTAAGTTAAATAAACTATGGCTCATCCACCATGGACTTCTCTGCAACTATAAAATAGAATAAGGAGATGTACTGATATAGAATGATATTTAGACTATATTAAGTACAAAAATATTAAAGTGTAAATTATTCATAAAAGGCAGGTATATGTTTTCATTTTTTAAAATAATTCTTTTTTTCTTTTTTTGGAGAGGTTTTTGCTATAAGGCGCATGCGCTCACCAGACAGACAGAGAGAGACAAAGAGACAGAAAGTGAGAAATCACCCCCAGGGGCAGGGCCATGCTGCAATCCTTTCTCCTCCATTCTCCTCTTGGGATCTTGGGCACGCACCCACACATACCCGGTGTGAGTTTAAGCCACGGGGTTGACTACATGGGAGTCCAGCAACATAGCCATTACGCTAACTGCTGGTGCCTTAAAAATAATTTTTTATTGGAGCTGGCAGATGGTGTGATGGTTAAAGGGACTGGACTCTCACATGGCCAACCATGGTTCAAGTCCTGAACCTGGTGGCTTGCTTTCTGACTTTCCCTCTCTTTCTCTCTCTGTACCTCTCTGGTCAAACTAGAAATAAATAAATAAATAAATAAATAAATAAATAAAGTAAAATAAAATGATTCTTTAAAAAAGAATTATTTAATTTTATTTATCATTATTATTAAATTTAAATTTGACCAGAGAGAGACAGAGAAAGTGAGAAAGCAAGCTGCCAGGTCCAAGACTCAAACCATGGTCAGCCATGTTGGAGTTCAGCGCCTTAACCACTACACCAGCTGCTGACCTCTAATTTTTTTTTTTTTTTGAGAGGTTTTTGCTATAGGGCATATGCGCTCGCGAGAGAGACAGAGAGACAGTGAGAAATTACTCCCCAGGGGGAATAGCCATGCCGCACTCCCTTCTCCTCTCGGGATCTTGGGCTTGCATGCACATGCGCCTGGCATGAGTTTAAGCCACCGGGTCTGAGACTCGAACCATGGTGGACTACATGGGAGTCCAGTGACATAGCCATTATGCCAACTGCTGGTCCCTGTTTTTTTTTTTTTTTTAAGAGAGGGTTTTGCTATTGTGTGCACTCACCAGAGAGAGACAGAGAGACAGAAAGTGAGAAATCACCGCCCCTGGGGGGATGGCCACACCACAATCCCTCTCCTCCATTCTCCTCTTGGATTTGGGGCACGCAAAGACATGCAACCAGCATGAGTTTTAAGCTCCCGGGTCTGGGACTCAAACCAAACTCAACTGACTATGTGGGAGTCCAGTGATGTAACCATTATGCCATCTTCTGGTCCCAAAATAGGTATATGTTCCCTTTTAAGTAAGAAAGATCAGGGGAGTGGAATATATATTTCCGTTGCAAACGAAAAACTGGAAGAGGGGCTAGTTCGTGATGCAGTAGTAAAAGGCCATGCTCTATAAAGCTGACCCACGTGGGGATTTTGTCCTTAGACCTCCCTGAGTACAACTGGGTATGTGTGTGTGTACCCATGATCCAGGGCTGGCTATGGCTGGAGGTAGATCATGGCATCAAGAGCCTGTTGGAGGTGCTGTCTCTCCATCTCACTCATGGAGGAAATAAATAAAGAAATTGAAAAAAATAAAATAAAATAGGGACAGTCCCCGAGCCTAGTGGATCTGGATCCCATGTGGTTGACTGTGGTTTGAATCTTTACCCTGGCAGTTTGAAAAATATGCTGGCACATGGGCATGTGGGCCTAAAATCCTGAGGGGCTGGGGAAATGGAGAAGGATTGTGGTGTGACCACACCCCTACTGGGTGTGCTTTCTCCCTCTTTTTTTTCTGTTTCTCTCCCTCTGGAAAGTGCACGCATCCTCTGCAATGAAAAAATAATGATAAATTGAAACACTGGAGAGGGCCAGCAGATGGTGTGGAGGTAAAAGAGACTGGATCTCAGATGGCTGATTGTGTGATTTGAGTCCCAGGTGGCTTAAAAAATCATGCTGGGGACCAGCAGTTAGTGTAATGGCTATGTTGCTGAACTTCCAGGTAGCCGACCGCGGTTCAAGTCCTGGACCTGGTGGCTTAAACTCACGCCGGGTGCGTGTGCGTGTGTGCCCAAGATCCCGAGAGGAGAATGGAGGAGAAGGGATTGCGGCATGGTCATCTCCCCTGAGGGTTGATTTCTTGCTTTCTATCTTTCTGTCTCTCTCTGTCTTTCTGGCGAGCGCACGTGCCCTATAGCAGAAGCCTCTCCCAAAAAAAAAAAGAAAGAAAGAAAGAAAATCACACTAGGCACATGCCCAAGATCCCAGGATGAAAATGGAGGAGAAGAGATTGCAGTGCGGCCATCCCACCTGGGGAGGATGATTTCTCACATTCTCTCTCCCTATCTCTGTCTCTCTATGGCAAGTACATGTGCCCTATGGCAAAAACCTCTTTTTTTTTTTTTAGGAATTCTTTATTTACTTAATTTTTATCTGTTATTATTGTTTACTTTATAAATTTTACCAGAGACAGAGAGATACAAAGGGAAGTGAGAAAGCAAGCTGCCAGGTCCAGGACTCGAACCAATGTCGGGCCTATGGGAGTCCAGTGCCTTAACCACCATACCACCTGCTGGCCCCCAAAATCTCTTTTAAAAAAAAGAAAAAAGAAAAAATTATGTTGTATGCATGCATGCCCAAAATCCCATGGGGAAAAAATAATAAAACACTAGAAGAAACCAATTAATAGTTTCTACAGGGTATGCACGCACTCTATAGCAAAAAAATCACTCTTAAAAAAAAAAGTTTTCCTCAACTTCTCCAAGCTTGTTTAGGGGTACTTGTTATACTCACTCTCTTTAAATAATTATTTTATTTTACTTTATTTCTTTATTTTAATTTGACCGGAGAGGGATGGGGGAGGGAGGAAGAGAGAAGACGAAAAAGCAAGCCACCAGGTCCAGGACTTGAACCATGGTTGGCCATGTGGGACTCCAGCGCCCTTAACCACCATGCCACCTGCTAATCCCCCTCTCTCTTTTTAAAAATTTTTTTTGCCATAGAGCACCTGTACTCGCCCAAGAGAGACAGAGAGGGAAAGTGAGAAATCACCCACCCCCCCCAAGGGAAATGTATACATCACAATCCCTTCTCCATTCTCCTCTCAGGATTTTGGGCACGCACACAAATAACACCTGGCATAATTTTCAAGCCGCCAGGTCTGGGACTTGAACCGTGATCATCTAGTGCCTTACCAAGGCACCACCTACTGGCCCTCCTACCCTCCATGTTTCTACCCTTAGCTAGCTGTGGCATTCACAATTAAGGACAGGGGCTGAGTCATTTATCTTATAACCTGTTATATTGTAATAGGCCAGAAGAGGAACACAGTATTTGTGAAATTACTTTCTCCCTATGTCCTTGTAGAAATGAGAAGCAGAAAGAAGAATGGAGAGAAGGAAGTGTTCCCACCCAAGGAGGCCCCACGAAAGGGGAAGCGAGGGCGCCGGCCCAGCAAACCACGACTTATTCCCAGGCAGACATCTGGGGGCCCCATCTGCCCTGACTGTGGCTGTACCTTTCCAGATCGCCCGGCCCTTGAGAGCCACAAGTGTGCCCAGAATCTGAAAAAGCCTTACCCGTGCCCAGACTGTGGGCGCCGCTTCTCCTACCCCTCCCTGCTCGTCAGCCACCGCAGAGCACACTCCGGGGAGTGCCCCTATGTGTGTGACCAGTGTGGAAAACGTTTCTCCCAGCGCAAGAACCTCTCCCAGCACCAGGTTATCCACACAGGCGAGAAGCCCTACCACTGCCCTGACTGTGGCCGCTGCTTTCGCAGGAGCCGGTCCTTGGCCAATCACCGGACCACACACACAGGCGAGAAACCCCACCAGTGCCCCAGCTGTGGGCGACGCTTCGCCTATCCCTCCCTGCTAGCCATCCACCAGCGCACACACACAGGAGAGAAGCCCTATACCTGCCTGGAGTGCAACCGTCGCTTCCGCCAGCGCACAGCCCTTGTCATCCACCAGCGCATCCACACTGGCGAGAAGCCCTACCCATGTCCAGACTGTGAGCGCCGTTTCTCCTCATCCTCCCGCCTGGTCAGCCACAGGCGTGTACACTCCGGAGAGCGTCCCTACGCCTGTGAACACTGTGAGGCCCGCTTCTCCCAGCGCAGTACGCTGCTCCAGCACCAGCTCTTGCACACAGGAGAGAAGCCCTACCCCTGCCCAGACTGCGGACGTGCCTTCCGGCGGAGCGGCTCCCTGGCCATACACCGCAGCACACACACCGAGGAGAAGCTACACGCCTGTGACGACTGTGGCCGCCGCTTCGCCTACCCCTCACTGCTGGCCAGCCACCGGCGTGTGCACTCAGGCGAGCGGCCCTATGCCTGCGACCTTTGCTCCAAGCGCTTTGCCCAGTGGAGCCACCTGGCTCAGCACCAACTCCTGCACACTGGGGAGAAGCCTTTCCCCTGCCTGGAGTGTGGCCGATGCTTCCGCCAAAGGTGGTCTCTGGCTGTCCACAAGTGTAGCCCCAGGGCCCAAAACTGTAGCCCAAGATCTGCTCTAGGGGGATCCAGCCAAAAAAGCAGTGCCCTTTAGAAAGGAAAGGACTGTGAGTTCCTTTCACTTCATAGCTGTGGAGGAGCCCTAGGCCATGCAGGTCTTTTGGTCTACAAACCTGAGCTTGAGCATATTCCATTGCACTGGCTGCCTTACTGTGGTGTCTAAGACAGTCCCATTAGGAGAGATGACATCATTTGGCTAAAATTTTTCAAGTTACCCTAACCTAAACTTATGGATGTGCATATCAGGGCTCAGAGTTTTTCCCATTTGTTTTAGAGGCTATCTGCTTTTGGGGGGGGGGAGCTTTTTGCTATAGGGCGCGTGCGCTCGCCAGACAGAAAGCAAGAAATCACCCCCCAGGGGAGATGGGCACACCGCAATCCCTTCTCCGTTCTCCTCTCGGGATCCTGGGCATGCACACACACGTGCCCGGCATGAGTTTTAAGCCACCGAGTCCAGAACACGAACCGTGGTTGACTACATGGGAGTCCAGCGACATAGCCATTACGCTAACTGCTGGTCCTGGTGATCTGCTTTTCTAGTCTGCATACAGGGATACTGATTCCCTTTGATGCAGTCAGGAGAATTGCATGTAAAGGGGGCAGGACCTTCCCCTACTCTGCCTCTTCCTCCATACCAGGTTGAAAAAACCTGCTGTAGCTCACTTTTTACAACACTCCTGCCAAATGATCTTCTACTCCCTGCATAAAGGCCCCCCTTGACAGGGAGCCCACTACCTCACAAGGCAGGTCATTTTGTTGTGGGATAGTGCTGGTCTTTGTAAGGTTGTTGAGTAGCACACTGTTCTCTGGAAACCTTGCCTAGAATAATACTTCTTCTACATGGCAGCCCTTCAGATAACATAATCACAACCACTTTGCCCTCCTGAACCTCCCAGCTTCTAGGTTAAATAGCATTAATTTGATCAATGATTACTTAAGGATGGGGTTCCATTTCCCACCAATGATCTCTCTCCAAATAGAGACTGTCTTTTAACTCTTTTTTTAAAGAGTCATACAAAAATAAGGCAGCATCCACAGTGTACACTGAGTACCTCTTTGGTCTGTACCTGTTTAACAGCTCTACATCGCACTGGACTGGGGCATCTATACTGTATCAGAGAGGTTTCTTGGGTTGCAGACATCTATGTCCTAAATGAAGAAAACAGAAAAACCATAGGCTATAAAACTAAGTCATCTTCACCCTGTATTTGGAAAATTGGTTCAAGTGTGGTATGAGACATCAGCACAGTAAGCTTTAGGAGAAGGTTGATCTTAAGGAAAAGCCGGGGACCAGTGGTCTAGCAGCAAGAAGTAAAACTGGGACTGGCTGTTATACTTCATCTGGTGGACTCAGGTTAGTTCCAGGCAGACTGGCTGGAAAGTCCTTGAGAACTGTGTCTTACTCCTCCTTGATTCCCATCACAAGAGAGTCAGCTCAAAACCTTCCATGAGGCCTCAGTCAGCGTTTTTTTCATAAAGTGAGGTGAGGCCACTCAAGGAGGGCAGAAGGTTAGGTAATTGAATGCAGAGGGGATGAGTCTATAGTCATCAAGTTGAGTCCATGCCTGCCTCCCTCACTGGAGCTCTGGAGGGCAATGGCAGCAGTGTGTCTTAATCTCTCATATGCCTCCATGGCACCCGGCTAAGGAGGTGCTCAGTAAAGCTTTACCGAGTTTTAAATGTGAACAAGGCGTACTTCTTTGCCTTGGGCAGCTGCACCAAATTGGCATTTCCAAACATGACTTATCTCCTATTCCATCAGCTGGAATAGGTCATTCTCTTTCTACAGCTCTCCTGATCTCAGCCCCAGAGTAGGGGGAGCAGCTGGGGCACACAGTGTTGTGTTTTGTAATGACCTCTGGGTATGTAGCAAGTTGCAATGTGACTCTTTGTGTCTCCTTGGATGATGAGCCACCCCTAGGCAGGGGTCATACCAGGTTGGGTCTCATTAAAATTTCTGATGGATAAATTATGTTCTGTGTTGAATTACTATAAATACAGAGTTTTCTTTTTTTAACTTGCACATAGCACTTCCAGAGAGAAAAGGTGAGAAACCACCCCTCTCCCCCTGGAGGGATGACCACACCAAAATCCTTTGTCCTCCATTCTCCTCTCTGGATTTTGGGCATGCACACACGCACATATGCTTGCTGGTGTGTTTTCCAAGCCTCTGGGTCAGGTACTCAAAGTGCCCTCAGCCAATGTGGGATCCAGTCACCTTAACCACCATGCTACCAGCTGGCCCTTAACTGAGCTTACTGACTCAGTAGAAAAACTTTTTTTAATAATTTTTTATTTATCATTATTATTACTATTATTTTTAATTTGCTACAAGTCACATGTGGTCACCAGAGAGAGACAGAAAAGAAGCTGCCAGCTCTAAGACTGAACTGTGGTTGGCCATGTGGGAGTCCAGCACCTCAACCACCATATCACCTACCTAGCCCTTGAGGAGAAATTTTTACTGTCAGAGGGAGATCCAGGATTATTAGAGACCTATTCGAGAATCTGCCAAGCCTCCTGGATTAGGATTAGTAGCTCTCCTACCATTAATCTTACCCAGGTATTTCTTTTCTTTTAATTTTCCAGAAGGCATATGTGCTCTCTAGAGTGAGAGAGAAAGCACCTCCCATGAGCGACAGTCATGCTGGAATCCTCTCCCATTTCTCCCTCCTTTTGGGATCCTGGATATGAGCATACACACACCTAGCCATTTCCTCAAGCCGCTGGGTCCAGGACTCGAACTGTGCAGTCAGCCTGGTGTGATTTAGCCATCTCAACTACCCATGCCACCAGCTGGCCCTGTATTTCTTCACCGAGGAATTTCATAAATCTCTTTGGGCTGAATTGTAATTCATAAAACGGGAGGCTTCGATAGCTAAATTCATTATGTGGAAAATGGATGACACAACTTCCTAGGTTCCCTACAGCACTTCAGTCTCAAGGTCCATTTGTTGACCAGTTGTGATCTTGGACCTGCATTTAGCAGCATTCCAATAAATTCCCCTTTTCGATAAAAGTATTGGGTTCTTAGAAAAGTCATGATGTATCCTTTTCTGTTTTTTTTCTTTTTTAATCCAAAAATGTGTCATGACTTTTCTGATGACCTAATAGTTTGAGTTTCTGTTACTCATAACCAAAAGAATTAACTAATAAACAGCCCCAAACTAGGTTCATCTGTCATCTGGCTTCATGTCCATATATAAGCTGTGGAAAAAAAAAAAAAAATCACAGTAGTTTTGAAAAGTGCCACAATACCAATCCTGATCTTTGATGCTATTGTAACTTTTGTATTATTTATTTTTAAAAAGAATTATTTAATTTTATTTGTTCATTTATTTATTTTAATTTGACTGGGGGAGGGAGTGAGAAAGCAATTCTCCAGCTCCAGGACTCAAACCGTGGTAGGCCATGTGGGAGTATCTAGCGCCTTCACCACCATGCCATCTGTTGGCCCCCCTTCTGTATTATTTATGTCTTCCATATATTCTTTTTAAATTTTTAATTTATTTTTTCATTATTTTTTGAGTTTGCTATAGGGCACATGTGCTAACCAGAGAGAGACAAAGAGAGAGCGGGAAAGTAAGCCACCAAGTTCAGGACTAGAACTGTGGTCAACCATGTGGGAGTGTCTAGCACCTTAATAACCATGCCACCTGCTGACCCCTCTTTTTTATTTATTTTTTATTTTTTCTGTGAGAGAGAGAGGGAAAGGAGAGACAGATAACTCCAATAGGGTCTGCAAACCACAGTCCACTCCCAGGCTCTGCTGGCCTGGATACAGGCATACACGTGCAAAGTGTGCTCAGGGAGATCTGAGGACACAAACCCAGGACCTTTCCCATGTGGGTCCAGTTGAATTACCACTATGCAACCACCTGACACTCTCTATATTATCCTTAACCAGTGAATACCTCTTTTTTTTTTTTTTTTTTAGAATTAATTAGTTATCATTATTATTATTTTTTAATTTGCTATAGGGCTTGTATGCTTACCAGAGAGAGTGAGAGAGGGAAAGTGGAAAACCAAGCTGCCAGGTCTGGGACTCGAACTGCGGTCAGCCATGTGGGGATCCAGTGCCTTAACTACCATGCCACCTGCCAGCCTCCTACCTCTTTTTCTTTTATTAAGAAAACAGGTGTCGGGAACCAGCAGTTAGCGTAATGGCTATGTCGCTGGATTCCCACGTAGTCGACCGCGGTTCGTGTCCCGGACCCGGTGGCTTAAAACTCACGCCGGGCGCGTGTGCGTGCGTGCCCAAGATCCCGAGAGGAGAATGGAGGAGAAGGGATTGCGGCGTGACCATCCCCCCTGGGGGGGTGATTTCTTGCTTTCTGTCTCTATGTCTCTCTCTGTCTGTCTGGCGAGCGCACGCGCCCTACAGTGAAAATCTCTCAAAAAAAAAAAAAAAGAAAAAGAAAACAGGTGTCAAATAGGAACTCCTTCAATATTCCATTCCCTATCCTGACTCTAAATTTACCAGTGACCATACATATTTCTTGCTTCCATCCCATCTTGGGGAAGTGTCTCAGATGTAATGCTTACCACCAAAGCTGTGCCTAGATTTCACCCACTTATGCTCCCTCAGGGACTTTACTCCACCTATTATTTCTTCTCTTTTTGTTTTGTGGTTTTGTGGCGCCTCTCTTGTCCTGAACACATACCCACCTATAAACATGCTAAGATCTGTCTTTAGAATAGTAAAAGAGAATTTCCCCTCTGGCCCCTGTCCTCATCTTTTTTCAGTGAAATTTCTTTTTTTAAAAAACTGTTTATTGGGACCAGCAGGTGGTGTGATAGTTAAGGCACTGGACACTTCCACATGGTCAACCGCGGTTTAAGTCCCGGAACTAGTGGCTTGCTTTCTCACTTTCTCTCTCTCTTTCTGTCTCTCCTAGGTCAAATTAAAATAAATAAATGAATCAATAAATAGTTCTTTAAAAAAAACTTTTATCTTATGTATTTTTATTCTTTTTTTTTTTTTTTGAGAGATTTTCACTATAGGGCGCGTGCGCTCGCCAGACAGAGAGAGACATAGAGACAGAAAGCGAGAAATCACCCTCCAGAGGGGATGGTCATGCTGCAATCCCTTCTCCTCCATTCTCCTCTCGGGATCTTGGGCATGCACGCACATGCGCCCGGTGTGAGTTTTAAGCAACCGGGTCCGGGACGCAAACCACGGTCGACTATATGGGAGTCCAGCGACATAGCCATTACGCTAACTGCTGGTTCCCATTATTCTCTCTTTTTAAAAAGTTTGACCAGAGAGAGATAGAGAGAGGGAAAGTGAAAATGCAAGCCACCAGGTACAGGACTCAAACCATGGTTGGTCATGTGGGAGTCTAGTGCCTTAACCACCATACCATCTGCTGGCCCCTCAGCGAAATTTCTTAAAGCAGTAGCCTAT